AACAAAAAAAAAAATAATTGAAAAAAAAAAATTTAAGAAAGAAATAGTGAATCAGTCATATTTGAAATTGGTTAAAGTATTGTTAAATAAAAGAAAGATAAAATAAAATAAATAATATTGTAAAAGAGAAAAGTATAGTAATAAAAGAGAAATAGAATAGTAAAGTGAAGTAAAAAAAAAATAAAAAAAAATAAAAGTATATAAAAATAGCACTAGATAATGTAGTCGGTAATGCTTTCATGATGCATCAGATTTAGCATGCTACTAGTAGAGTTGAACATGTGGCCCATAGAGTATGCAATACTCTAACCACTATACTATGGGTGTGAATAGGTTAATATAGTAGGATTTTGCATAAATAGATGTTTTTGTTAGATGGATTTTAAATAAATTTTGTATTAGGGATTTGCAAAAAGAGTTAATTATTAAGATTAAAATTAATATAAAAAATTATTTTTAACATAAGCAAAATTATACACAGTACTTTAAACACTATACATATAACCAAATCTGTTTTTCTTTAATTCTATAAATATAGTTCTCTATTGAGCCGGCTCAATGGGCCTTATTCTACACTCTACATTAGCAAATCTAAAGCTCACTTGGCTCGTGAGCCTGTAACAGTAATATATTTGAGAATATTACATTTTGGAATAAGAAATTGTGATAAAATCAAGGTAAGTATGATATCCTCGAGAGTGTCATATGATATACTTGAGAACATTATATTTACTTCAATTTTATCACAATTTTCTTATTCCATGATATAATATTCTTGAATATATCACTATTACATAGCTCGCGAGCCAAGTAAGCCTTAAATAAGCTAATGTGAGGTGTAGAATAAGGCTTATTGAGCTAGCTCAATAGAGAGCATTATATAAATATAAATATATAAAATAAAAATAAACAATTTCAATCAAATTTTGGTTTTGTGGTTGTTGTAATATTGCTAATACTATTTAGATACTACTAGACTGGTTTAATAATCAAACTCATTATTATTGCTAAAAATAAACAATTATAATATTACCTGTAGAGTGTTTAGACTTCTACAATTTTAGAAATTCATTGTTTTAATAATAGTAAATTTCTGAAATTATGTAATATAAAAAATAAAAAATTAATAATATCGTATAGCACAGACCACAGTACTCTGAGTATAATACAATCTACAGTCAAAATTTGTATAATACCCAAGGTACTATATTAAGCAATTTTTCATATTAAAAGTTTTTTTATATAGGATATACCCCCTAGATATTTTATATTCCATCATGAAATTTTTTAATAGAGAGTACTTTGCACAGGGAGGGTACCATGGTTCATGCTATATAGTAATACTATACAATATAAATTACAAAAAGTTATATAAGGCCTCTTGCCTTCTCTTTCTCATACATTGATTTACTTGTAATTAGATAAATATTTATCTTAAATCATATCTACAACACCTTATTTGATTACTAATTCCTCTGCTAAATCAACTTCTAAAAATATTCAAAATTCCCTTTAGATAATTAGAAGTTCTGATAATATTACAAATTATATTAAATTTAATTATTTTGAAGATTTTACTAATTTGAATCCTAAAAATTCTAATAAACATGATTATGAATATTCTGCTAAAAGCAATTGCTTTAAAAAACAATGTTTAAGATTAGATGAAAACTTGACTCAGTTTGTAAATATATTATTGAACTAAGTGGTAAGCTTAGTCTTTAAAGTTTGCAATAATAAGTGGCTGAAGAAACATCAATTTCAACTATAAAAAGTCACTTTAAAAGTAAACATTTACTTTTCTTTAAAGATCTTTAATAAATGCTTTAAGTACTTGACCTTCTTTTTGCTCAACCATTATATCTACTGAAAAAATTATATTGAGTCTTTAAATAATAATCTATTAAAATGGATTATTATTAAACAACAACTATTTTCAATAGTTAAGGCAGACTCATTTATCAAATTAGTTAACAATCTTGAACTGCATTATAAGTTGCTTTGTTATTAAACACTTTTTATAAATATAAAAATTCATTTTGACTTAGCAAAATTAAGAGCAAAAGAAATTTTAAAGGCAAATAAAAGTAAATTGGCACTTATTTTTGATATTTGGACTATGTATAATTAACAAATATTTCTTGGTATTATCATTCACTAGGTTAATAATAAATGAATATTAAAAACCTTACTACTTGACTTTATTCTATTATATAGTACCTATATCTTGGTGAAAATGTTCTTGAACTTCTTAACAATTTTGAAATAACTAATAAAGTAATTAGTTTTATCAAATAATGCAACATGTTTAAATTACCTTAATACAGTGGCTACCACCTAAAGCCATCAACTTTTATATAAAGGTACCAATTTTTTATATGCAGTGTAATCTATATTAACTAATAATAGTAGCCCATTTTGACTAATAGAAATATTAATATAAATAAATTATCATAGCAATTGATTAAGGCCACAGAACAATAACTGATATTTGATCAATTAGTAATACAGTATTTAAAAGGAATCCTGTACAAATAACTGTAATACTATTCTGCCTAAGATATTAACAAACTTTTAGTGCTTTTTATATATGTCAACTATATAAGCTTTAAATGATTTGAGATCTGAGAATATGTTCTGGTTATCTACACTGCAAGGATCAAATATGATTGCTAAATCTAATTTATAAAAAGATTATTATTTCTGCTTTTTAATACTTTTATTATACTGAATTATTATATTTATTTTTAGAGAATATTCAAAATAATAAACAACACATTAAAAGTATTAGTTATTTAATATTTAACATAAATATTATATTTTATATTTTATTCAAAAAAAAATTTTAAGAGCTTGTAATATGAATAGGAATTGATCAATAGCTTTTGTATTTTTTGACAGTATACTTGGCTGCTTGACTAGTTAAACTTTTCTATATGCATCCATTCATAGTAGGGTGGTTGGCAAGGCCATTCAAAAGATTGCCTGCCATGGCAAGGTTTTAGTAGCTTGCCAACATAAGAGGCGAGTAATGGTGAAAATGGCAGGCTTTTTATACTTGATTATTGTATAGTGTTTTTAATATCAGATTAAAATTCAAGTATAGAAGTTTTATTAGAGTTTAAGTTAACAGATATTATCAAAATTATTATATTAAATTAAAATAATTATAATAGCATTAATATTTTTACTCTAATATAGAGTTTTAACTTAATTAAATAAAATTTGGTATTAAAAATTGGATTAGATACAAATTTCAATTTGATGTATATATAATATATATTCTACTTTATATATATATATTTATAATAATTTTAAAGTATTATGTTAATTTTAAATATGTGTTGATTTGTTTTTTCTAATAGCATTATATAATAAAAAATGTATATTTTTTAAATTATTGTATTAATATCAAACTATAATCCAAAAAAAACAATAAATAAAATTTATAACATTTTTTCAACTATTGCAAAGTAAGCATTATTATAACATAAAATTAAATAAATTAATTTTTAGATATTCAACAAATTAAAATTTGCATTAGATCTAAATTTTAATACTAAGTTTATTAGATTTCTATATTATATAAGGTAGGTTTTAATAGTAATATAAAGTATATATATATATTTATATATATACTTTATACTATTATAATAATATTATCTTGCCATCTTGCCAAATCATTTTTCTTTGCCTGCCATACCTTGCCATGCTTGCCTTGCCAAAATGGCAAGCAGTTGACAGCTTGCAACCACTCTAATCTATTGGTAAAAAAGTCTTGTGTGTTTTCTAATTGTTTTAACTGGAATGGAGTTTAGTACAATTGGAACATTATTTTTCAGTCTTTTCTATATATAGTTACAATTTTCTTGTATATATTTCTTTACTGCACCCCAATATATCTCAATATAGTTAAGTTTTAGGTAAAATTTTAGATAAAATATCACCTAGGGTAAATATTTTAATTTAATTGTAAAATTTCTTATACTTATTAAATACATTTACTTTATGTCTGTTTTTTTCTATTTCTTGTTGAATTAACTCATGTTCATTTAAAAAATCTGGCTAGTTTGCAATAAGGTAGTAAGTACAACAATTTGTTCTGTTGTAATTTGGGGTTTTTCTTATTTATCTTATAGTTAGCTAGTAATCCATCTTTTTAAAGACCTCTTTTAATGAGTACTACTTTCATTTCTTTAGATTATGATTATAAAGAGAGCACTTTATAATCATCTAGATATGTCATTATTTGAGTTTCTCTATTCCATGTAGTATCTTTTGTCTTTGGTTGCTTCCTGCCAGAATAAAGATTCATTCTAGTAGCTACTAGTGCATTAGATACCATAATAGTATGACTGGTTGTATTCAGGGTTTAAAATTCAGCTCAAAATCTTCTTGCACAATTGCAGTTATGGCGCAAGTTTTTATTGCACAAACCAAATACTAGTTGCACATGTTGCATAACTATTTTTTTGCATATATGCACTAATTTATTAATTTATTATTTCTAAGTGATTTTTTGGAATAATTCCGATATTTTTGTAAATTTTATGCTAGACCTTGCTCGTATTTTACGTTCATTCATTTTCCTTTCGGAACTTTTCGGAATATCCTTCTCATCCCACATTTATCTTAAATTTTAGTACAAAAATATTTTATAATTTTTCTTGCTCATTAGTTTTTGTGCAAGCATCTTATTCAAATTTAATTGCACACTTGTGCATATACGTTTAGAACTTCTCCTGCACAAAAAAAAAACTACTTGCACATGTGCATCTTGTGCAAGCCAATTTTAAATCCTGGTTGTATTATCAAAAGCCTAAACTCCAATACATCCAGAATGTATTCATTTAAATATTTTTACTTGCTTCCAGTTTAGGAGTATTGTTTTGAAGAAGTTTTATATAATAAATAATAGAAATATATTTTATCTTATCTGTCTTTGAAGTTTCATTGATATTGATTAAATACTATATTCTTTTTTCTGTTTCTTGAAACTTCTATTCCCATTGTGATAATTCTTTCATTATCTCAGTTTCACTTTCACTTTCATAATCTGATTGAGAATTATCTGCTATTTCATAATCTAATTGAGGATCAGCTGCTATTTTAATATTGTTTAAATTTACCAAAAAAATCTGTTATTTTATGATTTCCTATAGCACTTATTCGATTTTTCTGTTGTCTTGTTCCTAGTGTATTTCCAATGTGAGTTCTTATTTTCATTACTCATATTATAAGCATTTTTAATAAGTTTTTCAAAAACTATTTCTACAGCTTCTTCATCTTTCAAATCGTATGCATTATCAATTATTGGTATATCACTTATATTGCTTTTTGCTTTTTAAGCATTAATACAATGTATTAACAAATGTTTTTTTAATTACAAATCAGTTTAATACTATGAACAGTAACAAAAAAAAAATCAATTTAATATAATTTATTTATAAACTATATGATATTTGCGAATAATACTAACTTAGATTTGGAAGCAGTAAATTTGAAATTATTGACAGTAAAAAAGTTTTGAAAACATATTTATAAATTTTATCTTTGATAGCATTTGTAAATTTTTAATTGTTGTGAGAAAAATCTAATCATTTTTCTCAATCAATATATTTATTATTTCAGACTAGTTTTGATATACAATTGGCTAGAGTATTTCATTTTAATTCTTCTCTTTATTTAAAAGCTTTTGATTTCTTATTATTAAATATTTTTTTCATAAATTTAAATTCTTCTTCACATGCATTAACATTGTCTTGCCTAGAAATCAACCTATTTTGGCTTTATTATTTTTTCCAAAAACAATTACCTCATACTTAACTTTCACATACTCAATCAATTACTCATAACAACAATACTTATTTACAATGATTATCTAACTATCCAATTACCTTATACTTACTCAACTTTCACATACTTAATCAATTACTCATAATAACAATACTTATTTATAATAATCATCTAACTATCCAATTACTTCATACTTACATATATATGATTGACTAATCAAACATGTAACTATAACTGGGCCTATTACATGTTCAATCAGATAGTCAATAATTCAAGACAAAAGCTGTCTTGATATTTATATATTGAACAGCTATGATTGGAATATAATACACAACTAAATTTAATTGTATATCAGGTTAGTAATTGCTAAAATGTGTTTTTTAAATTTATAGACTTCGTAACAACAGCAAAGATTTGAAAATGTATTGTATAACCTTTGTGATACCAAAATTTTATTGAGCAATTATTGCACGTAAATAGATTTTGATTGGCTAGTGTCTAGATATTTATGCACCAATTTTTAAACATAATATATAAATAGTTAAACTTTAAGATAATATAATAAAATTTTTATATTATTAATTTATTAATATTTTTATAAAAATTAAATATAAATCAACAATAAATAGTTTTTATAAAAAAATTTTGTCTAATATTAAATTTTAAAATTAAAATTTGAATTTGAATTAGTGCAATATTTGTTGATAGTTTTAGGTAGTAGCTACTATAGGTAATTTTCCAGTTACTTGGTTCAAAATTTTTTTTATATATAAATTTTATTATAAATGCAGATGCACAGCACCTCTATTTAAAACTTTTTTTTAGCTTCTAACAAAAGCTGTAGAGCTCATCAAAATATATTTAATACTGCAAGAATATTAAAATTGGCCTAGTAGTTCTTGAGAAATCTTTAAAAAACTTCTTTTTTATATATAAAATTTCTTTAAAAAAAATCAATTTTTTTTAAAGAAATGTTATATGTGAAAAAGAAGTTTTTTAAAGATTTCTCAAGAACTACTAGGCCAATTTTAATATTCTTGCAGTATTAAATATATTTTGATGAGCTCTACAGCTTTTGTTAGAAGCCAAAGAGTGATTTACTTAGTATAAAAAAAAGTTTTAGATAGAGATACTATGCATTCGCACTTATTATAAATTTATATATAAAAAAAGTTTTTAAACCAGATGACTGAAGAATCACCTATTAAAAGATTTATAAGCCCCAACTTTATTTATATTCATTGTACAGCATATTTTATTAGCCTTGTAGTTAGTGAAGATTAAAAAATTATAATAATTAAATTAAAAAAACCTGCTATTTTTGCAATAAGCTAAAATAATTACTCTTGCTTTTAGGTAAAATAGAAAGAATTTCTACTATCCTAAATTAACAATTTCTCCATCCAGAAATAGACATTGACACTAGATAGAACTCCATCTACTTAATGCTTAAATGGCTTGTTAAAATTAAACCTGTTACCAATAGCCTTGTACAATCCTATCTAGATATAAAAATTAATTATTTTATTTTATTTTTTTTTTTTATTATTGTTAATGTTATATATAGAAAAGCGAATAACTTTTACAAAGTATTACATGAATACATAATAGTTAAACAGATAGAATTTCTATAGTATTAAGATTGACGTGACATTACACCTCCAATTTTTTATTTTAAAGCTAATTTAAGTTAGTAAACTACTATTAGCTAAAGAAAGACTAGATGAAAACCTTGTTAGTATAAGATAGAGTATATATATATATATGAAGATTGAGATAGTTGAGATAGAGCTAAAAGATATTGTAAAATAAATAATAATAATAATAAAGAGTAAAGTTAGATAGATAAAAAAAAATAAAATAAGAGATAATAATAGTATTTAAAAAAGAAAAAAAAAATATAAAAATTTTAATTTATAACCCTGCAGTGCTATGTATTTAAAGTATAGTGTATAAGAGAACTTATAGAAAAAAGCTAAATAAATAATAATTAAAGTGGAAAAAAGAAAAAGAATATATTCGTATTGTAGTAGGTAATGCTACCTCGGTGCACTGGGTCTAAACATGCTATCAGAGGGTTTGAATGTACAGCCCTGCAGTGCAATACACCCTAACTACTATACTACAAATATTATGATAATGAAATTATTTTTGTACGTTTTTTGAAAGTTTGATTTGGGTAAAATTTACAAATTAGATTGTTTGATTTGACCTCATGTTAATTGTTAGAAGATTTTGTGTTGTACAATGGATATATTTATTTTAAGGTTTTTTGTTTAGAGTTGGTTTATATTTTAGACTGAAAATAAGTCGATGAAGTTATTTTAGAAGTTATTTGAAAAGGAGAATTAAAAGAAGTTTGCCTCTAAAAGAGATAAAAGATTTGCTTCCAAAAGAAAAAGAGGATTTGGTTCAGGATAATATTGTAGCTTTAACTTGTGAAGAAAAAATGCTTTTGTCGCAAGTTGAAGTTGTAGAAAACAGTAGTAAAAATTTCAGAAGAGCGAGCTAAAGAAATTTATCCTTATAATTTTTTATCAGTTGGGTTTTCACAAGTGGATAGGTATGTATTTGTGTTATTAATATATATAGGTTGACAATAAAGTTATATTTAAAAAGTTAATAAAAAGAAATT